AATGCTTACCTATGGGATCGCGGGAATCCGAAGGTTCATCAACTGATTAGAACATTTCCTTTGAAAGTAGGCTAACACGTTTCTTAAGTCCAATTTTGGGAACTAGGGAAAGTACATGGCAAACAGACGTTGCTACAGATAATACTTAAATCGGATTAAGGCAAAGGCAACCAGCTTTGTAAGATTTAATGAGGTCATAGAATTTGATGACCTTGTATTCAACGGCGTACGGTCATTGCCTATCAATAAGACAAAACAAACTGTACAATTAAATGAGAACCTACAGGGATGAAATTTAATGGGTAAATAAAGTATGAGCCGTTCGTCCGAGGTGGGGGCGCGCATGGTGAGGGGGAAGAGGAGCAGGTCAGTTATCGAAGCAAGTCAGTTCAGGTTACAGTGAAAACCTGTCAAGCAGGATTAAAAGTGCAAAGGGTAGGGCAGCAGTCGGTTACGTGGGGAAGTGAGAGGGCGGGAACGAGAGTGGGGTTACGTCCTTTATCGACCCTTACCACGGCAATACGAGGTTGCTAGCGTGATTCAGCTGCCAACAGACCTCTGGTTTTCTTCTCCGCATTGCAGCTGCTCCGCAAATCACAGGAGACGCCCAGTTATCGCCCGAAGTACGACCTTAAATGCGTTCATTGGGTCCACCGTATGATCAATGTCCATCGGGTGCTTTGTGATCGAACTCTTCGATACTTTATTTTCCATTCATATCAGCTACTTCGGCATAGTTTCAGCTGACCGAATTGCTAGCCACCTTTGCGTGCGCTCAATGTAATTGCATCCATAACTACCTGTAAACTCATGAATACAGTTTGATGTGGCGTGTATGGGCAAAAGGTCTTTAGGTGGTCTAACTGGAATAGAAGTTGTTGTGCTTATGAATTATAATTAAATCACCTACTCCCGAATTCGCACTAGGTGCTCCATATTTGACCTGTCGCAGTCACGCTTGCCAATTTTGTAACTTCATCGTGTTTTTTTCCTGACTCATAGAGAGAGCCTGTCTTTAATATTACCGGCAAAGACAAAGTAGACTGGAATGGCCATTTCTCGCTTATTGGCCGTCGTCAGCCAGTCATACTCAGACCCAAGTTGTGTCCCACCCGAGCCTCGAATGGTTAGGGTGTTTGAATCTGATAATAAATGTCGCGAGTTCGAGGGTCAGGTGAGACACCACTTGGGTCTGTGTATGACTGGCTGACGACGGCTAATAA